CCCTCAAGAGGTGTGCTCCTTCACCAATGTACGCTCCCATTCCGATCTTGATAGCGCTCTCGACCACGACCCCCTCACCAATATTGGCCCCCATGCCTATCACGCTGCCTGGCGGAAACTTCACGTCGTGACTGACGTACACACCCGGGCCCATTCGTACACCGGATCCAGGCCCGATGGGCTCCTTCCGGTCACGTTCGTCCGGTTCCTCCTGCTCTCCGTCGCCCGACTCACGATTCTCTGGTTCGGGGGGCGGATCAGACACTTGTTGGCGCGTCGGTCCATGCGTGCCGAGCGCCTCCAGCAGTCGCTCAGCCTCCTCTACGGTGATCTTGCCCTCGGACAGCATTTCAAGAATGCGTTGAGTGTCGTTGCTCATCAGCCTTCTCCTAGATTCACTTGAAATAGATCAACACCGACTCTTCTGGCTCCTTGACATCGATCTTGAGACCCGCAGATCGCAGTACAGACGAAACAGGGCGGGCCCGCCCAAGAATGGGCTTCCCCCAACCGCTTCGCGCCACGTCACGACGCCGCAACGACGATACACGGAAGCAACAGCAAGTAGACCGCAAGGACGAGCGGCCAGACGAGGACAAGCGAATCCACAGGCTCACGCGACTGTCCCTATCCAAAACGCGGACTCTCAGTATGGACGGGGAAACATCATCGCCCGGACAGCCTCTCGACCGCCTCATCGACGGTTATCTCCCCGCGTTCGAGTTGGTCGATAACATCGGAGCGCTCGGCGTCATCGACCGGCTCCGGTTCGCTGACCACGAACTCGAACCGGCCCGCGATGCTGTCCAGCCGCTTCTTGACCGTCGGATAGCTATCCCGAAGATGCGCTCCATCTGCTTGATCGAGCCGTGGCACTGCACGAACGCCATGACGAAGACCTGGTCCTCCGCCGAGAGCCGCGCCAGCGGCGGCAGATCAAAGCTCCCCTCGATTGGCGATGTCCTTGCCGGTCAGACGCACCCGCTCGACGGTGAACTCACCATCGCTGGTCAGATCGGTAAGGTCCTGCCAGGGACTGGCCATGACTCGCTCCAGAAAGATCGAGATCGCAATAATCACGAGTTACGATAATGCAGGATATCAATAAAGTCAATAGCGATATTAACTATATTGATATATGTGCCTGTATCAATTCAACAACAACTCCGCTCGGAGACACCGTTTCACTCCCCTCTGCGTCCTCCGCGCTCCCTGCGGTGAATCTCCGCCTCCGCCTTGCCAAACGACCCCCACGTCCTGATAGCATGAACGCACTCACCCACTCGGAGAAACGCCCACCCATGTCGACCTCGTTTACGCTCGCCATCCTGCCCGACACCCAGATTTACGCAGAGTCATTCCCCCACATCTTCACCGCCCAAACGCAGTGGATCGCCCGAAACCGAGACGAGCACAACATCGTGTTCGCTCTGCACGAGGGTGACATCACAAACGGGAACACCGAGCCGCAGTGGCGGAACGCGGCGGAAAGTATGAGCGTTCTCGACGGCAAGGTGCCCTACGCCATTGTCATGGGCAACCACGACATGGGGCCGGGCGGCGCGTGCGAGGTCCGGGAATCTCCCTTGTTCAACGAGTATTTCCCCGTCAGCAGGTACCTGTCGCTGCCCACCTTCGGCGGCACGTTCGAACCCGGCAAGCTGGAAAACACCTACCACCGGTTCGAGGCCGCCGACACAGGATGGCTCATCGTCGCGCTGGAGTACCTACCTCGCGACCGCGTCCTGCAATGGGCCAACGACATCATCGCATCCCACTCCGACCACCACGTCCTCATGCTCACGCACAGCCACGTCTACAAAGACGCAACCCTGCACGGCAGCAGTACCGACCACGACTCGAAGCCGTCGTCAATTGGTATCGTCTCCGATCCAGAGGGTGCCAACGACGGTCAGGACACCTGGAGAAAGGCGCTAAGGCGACACGAGAAGATGCGCTTCGTCTTCAACGGCCACTTCCCCGGCGCGGCCCACACCGTCGGCAAAGGCAACGAGGGCAACGCGGTCTATCAGATGCTCTCCAACTACCAGCACATGGACGAAGGCGGGGGCGGCTATCTGCGACTGGTCAAGTGCGATCCGGCGAGTCGCAGCGTCTCGGTCAAGACCTACTCGCCGTACCTCGACTCATTCCTGACCGACCCCTTGAACGACTTCACGCTCGAAAACGTCAACTTCGGCTAGGCGACGCCCTCACTCTTGCCTCAGCGCCAGAAGCTCAGCCTCGTCGAAGGGGTTTTCCCCCTTGCTGAGACTCTCGACCCACCGCTCGCGTCTCGGCCCATAGGTCTCGTAGTATTGGCTAGACTGGGTACCCAGCCACTTCAGGAACTTGGTGAAGTCCTCCACTGCCTTCTCGTAGTTGCCCAGCAGAGCGTGGGCCAGTCCCCGGCTGTCAAACGTCAGGTACTGGTCAGGTTGGATGCTCAGCGCTCGCTCGCAGTATGGCAGTCCCTCCGCCGCGCGTCCCATCACACTCATGCACCAGCACAGATTGTTGAGAGCCTCCGTATGATCTGAATCAATATTGAGGATGTGATGAAAGTCGTCGAGTACTTGAGCATCGTGGGCTTCGCCGAGCTTGAAGTACGCCAGCCCTCTGTTCAAGTAGCTGTTGACATCGTCAGGGTCCTTAATGAGGGACTCGTTGAAGTCCGCTATAGCCTTCGACGTTGCTTCGGGCCCTTCGAGTTGCAGGTACGCCGTGCCTCGACTGAAGTGTGCCCTCTCGGCTCCCCCCTCGACTGCCGCGTCGCAATATGAGATCGCCGACTCCGCCTGATGCACGGCGGTCATCATCAAGCACACGGCACGGCTGTTCTCCGGATCATCAGGTTCGAACTGATGGGCGCGCATAGTGTCGGCAAGCGCGTCCTTATGGAATCGTTCACCCATCTCGAAGTAGGCGAGGCCTCTAGCGTAATAGCTTTCCGAAATGGTGTTGTCGATGGCGATAGCCTTTGAGAGATCGTCGACCGCACGAACCAAGTCGCCCGGCCCCTTGCGTCTGAGATATGCGACTCCTCTGCTGTGGAGCACGGCCCTGTCGCGCGGCTTGCGGAGGAGCGACTCCGAATAGTCCTCGATTGCCTCGTCGAGTTCATCTCGCGCCCAATATACGAGGCCGCGATTAAAGTACGGCGTCGGAGTATTGGGGCCGTAGAGGATGGCCAGGGTGTAGTACTTTTCGGACGCCGAGAGGTTTGGGGGTTCTCGCACTTGGTACAGGTATCCAAGACGGAAGTAGATAGTCGCGACGGTATCCGGCTCTTGGGGAAGCGTGGTCAAGGCCTCGTCCAGGAGGTCGCGGGCCTCTTTGGAGTCTTCGCCACTCTCGTAGAGCTCCGCGAAGATCAGCAGAGCTAGCAGCCTCACGTCATCTGGCAGTTTGGTATTGATCGTGGCCGTCAGATCGGCGGGGTTGAGGACAGGGCGCTCGACCTGGCTTTCCTCCATGGAACCTTGGAGCGCCGGTACCGTAAATCTGGCCTGGGCCCGCCCGCTGTCGTACTCCCCCCAGATGACGATCGAGGCGTTTGTCAGGCGGGCGACTTCCTGGGCCTCTGCCTCGTCCCTGATGTCCTCACTGAGAACCTTGATCTTGATACTGGGGATAAATTCCGCCTTAATTTCCTCGTCGAGCGCCGCCTTTATTCGACCCGCTACGTTGAACCCCGTCTCTCCACCGATGTAGTTGACGAACCGCGCAATCACGACGATGTCTTCCTCGGCCTCCGGCTCCGGCGTCTCGACGACAGGAATCGGAGTCTCGACAACGGCTTTGGGCGTAGCCGGGGGACGCTTCGGTTGCGGAGTCTGTGTCGGAGTCGGTACTACATTGGCAATGGAGGGTGGCTCATCACCGTTCGAGAGCATCGCGGTAGCGAGCGCGATGCCCATGATGATAACCAGCCCGCCGACAAATCCGATCACCCAAGGCCTGCGTGACGGCGCAACGGTGACCGGAGCAACAGCTTCCTGAGGATTCTCCCTAGCCGAATCGTCCGCCGGCGCGTCCTCCGATTCACGCTCAGGTTGCTGTTCAGGGACGGATAGCGGCGGAGCTTCCGGCGAAAACCCCGCGGCTGAGAGCAGCAGGTCCCGCTCCTCCGGCGTCAGTCGCAGCCGCCTCGCGCATCGGAGCACGTCGTCCCGATAACGAGGCCTCTGGATCTGCCCGTCCTTCCAGCGAAACAGGGTCTGACGGCGCACTCCTATGCTCCGGGCCAGCTCCGAGTCGCTGATCCCCGCGCGCTCGATGTACTCCGACAGAAGCTCGGCGAACGTCCTCAATGTGACACCTTTGACACTCGTTTATACGTGAATGTGACACATCCGGTTCTTGAAGCGTACCACATGCATGAGATTCTGGACTTGAGCCGAAAGCGCGACTCGCATCGGAACGTCGGACATCCGCAGCCAATAGACAAGAAGGAGAAATCGAGAATGAAATCCATCTACAAGACCACCATCTTCATCATCGGTATCGCAATGCTAAGCATCGTGTTCGTCGCGTGCGGCAGCAGCGACGACGAGGACGCTCCGGAATCTGCACCTGTTCCAGCTATCAAGAGAGACAGCTATAGTCCGTCTGCTCCTGCCCCTGCTCCGGCGCCAGCCCCTGCTCCCGCACCGGCTCCTGCTCCTGCCGCACCTTCCCAGGTATATCAGGCACCCGCACCTGCACCGGCCGCAGCCCCTGCTCCGGCACCCGTTCCTTCGGAAAGAGATCGCAGCACAAGAGCTCTACCCGCTCCTGAAGCCATGGAAGCCGGGCCCCCACAGGCAATGTCCCCCGCTGGCGCGCCCGCGTCCTCAAAGGCACGGCGCGCCGCCCCCTCCCGTCGCCCAACCGCACCGTGACTACGGGACACGGGCTACGTTCCTCCTGCGCCTCAGGCGTATGACACGACCTTCTTCCAGAACTACGGCGTCAACCCCTTCATCGACGCCCGCGCCGACCACCTCTCCACCTTCGCCATGGATGTCGATACCGCCTCGTACGCGGTGGCCAGACGCTTCGTGCTGGACGGAAACCGCCCCGATCCCGACTCCGTGCGCGTCGAGGAGTTCGTCAACTACTTCGACCAGGAATACCCGCAGCCGCGCAGAGATGCCTTCGGCATTCACGTCGACGGCGCACGCTCGCCCTTCACCCACGACACGTGGATCGCCCGCGTGGGCATCCAGGGACGCGACGTGCCCGACCACCAGCGCAAGGACGCGACTCTCGTCTTCGTCATCGACCCTTCAGGCTCCATGGAGCGGGAAAACCGGCTCGGACTCGTGCAGCGCGCCCTGCGCCTCCTCGTCCGTGAGCTACGGCCCACCGACCAGATCGGCATCGTCACTTATGGAAGCCGCGGACACGCTATTCTCAACCCCACCGAGGCGCGGCACGACGACTACATCATCGAGGTCATCGACGGCCTCCGACCGGGTGGCTCAACCAACGCCGAAGAGGGCCTCAGATCGGTTACGAGATGGCCGACCGCTGGCTCGACTCCAGGCGTATCACGAGAGTCATCTCTTCTCTCCGACGGCGTTGCGAACGTCGGGCAGACCGGCCCTGACGCAATCCTCCAGCGGGTCCGGCGCTACGTGAACGAGGGTGTGAACCTCTCCACCGTTGGCGTTGGCATGGGCAACTACAACGACGTTCTCTTGGAGCAGCTCGCCAACGACGGCAACGGCAACTACATCTACATCGACAACCTCAGCGAGGCTTGGAAGTCATTCGTCGACAACCTCACATCCACTCTCCAGGTGATCGCCAAAGACGCCAAGATTCAGGTCTCCTTCAACCCCGATGTCGTCCACAGCTACCAGGCTCCTCGGGTACGAAAACCGCGATGTCGCCGACCGCGACTTCCGCAATGACTGGGTCGACGCAGGTGAAGTCGGAGCCGGTCACAGCGTGACGGCCCTCTACGAGCTGCGGCTGCATGAACGCGCCGACGGCCCGATAGCCAAGGTGCACGTGCGGTACCAGGACCCTGATTCCTACCAGATCCACGAGGTGAGCCGGAACTTCAACCGCCGCGACATTCGTGGCCGGTTTGAGAACGCATCACCGCGATTCCAGCTTGCGGCACCGTCGCCCAGTACGCCGAGGTGCTCCGCGAGAGCTACTGGGCCCAGCACACCACGTTCGAGGACGTGCGCTACCACGCAGACCGTGTTCACAACATGCTCCGCGACGACCCCGAAGTAACCGAGTTCGCCAAGCTCGTCAGCATGGCTTCAGGGATCTCATACCGGTAAAGCCCGCGTATTGGACGGTCCCGAACGTGTAGCGCGTTCGGGACCGTCGAACCTAGGACACACTCTACAAAGGAGAAGAATGATGAGATCGACCTTTAAGACGACCCTCATCATAGCCGGAATCGCGCTGTTCGGATTCCTGTTCATCCTCGTGCGCTCAGAGGAGCGAAAGTCCGCACAACTACCTCCCCTGCCCCCCCGCAGCTCCGGCACCCCCGCCCCTGAGGAGCCGCCGGCCGAGGCCCCTGCTCAGGCACCGTCTATAGTCCAGCAACAGCCCGCGCCCGCTCAGCGGCGAGGGAACCGGAGGCCCCGATGCCTGCACGCGAAGGCTGCTCACGGCTTTCCAACAGCCGAACGTGGCAAGAATGAGCGACGCTATGGCAATGGAACCCGCCAGTTCCTCCAACGAGGGCTCCATGACCGAAAGTGCTTCCACGCAAGGCGTTCAAGTTCAGGCTACCCGCGCTCTACCTGCCCACCGGTAAATTGGTGCCATCTCTCCACACCCGAGTGAATTGTGAAAGCGGTGGTCGCCGACGCATGGCTGAAGGAATGAAAAATGCGCAACGCCCGACCAAAGACGAAGTAGCCCAAGCGGTCCAAAGCGCTGTAGCCGCCGCAACGGCGGGACAAGTGACGAGAGGTTACGTTGAGGCGATAGTTTTGACAAAAGCGTTCAGGAGTCCCCAATGTCGGGGCTGACCAGCTCCGACGTTCAGAAGATTGTCGACAGTGCCCTACAGGCCATAACATACTAAGGCGCATAGGTCATCCGCTTATGCCGCACAGTCAGCAAAACGGCCGAGTCCAAAGCACAGACACTACTCATCCACTGCCAGGCCCGCCGCACGGTTGTATCACCCCCTCCTCCGGATTCGGGCTCCCTTCCTCCAGCCCCCTCACTCCGCCCAATCTTACTTGCGGGACTGGCGATACTGTGCCACTTTCCCCCCTTTCCCCTTCGCCTCGCGTCCGACGACACCACCTCTTTCCAACTACGGCGTCAGACCCCTCATCGACGCCCGCGGCGACCATCCTTCGCTACATTCGCCAGGAGTCGACACGGCTTCGTACTCGTGAGCGCGACGCTCGTGCTGGCCGCAATCGGCCGACGACTACTCGTGCGTGTCGAGGAGTTCGTCAACTACTTCGACAGGTAGACAGAACACACAAATCAGCTGCGCCGAGCGCATTCGCCCATCGTCGACGGCGCTGCACGATTCGCCGTTTCACCCCGGACACGTGATAGCCCGCGTGGCATCCAGGACGCGACGACGTCCCGGACCACCGGCGCAAGGACGCGACCCTCGTCTTCGTGATCGACACCTCCGGCTCGATGTCAGGAGAACCGGCTCGAACTCGTCAAGCGCGCGCTGCGTCTCCTCGTACGTGAGCTTCGACCCACCGACCAGATCGGCATCGTCACCTACGGAAACCGCGGACACGCCATTCTCAACCCCACTGAGGCGAAGCACGACGATTACATCCTCGAGGTCATCGACGGGCTCTATCCCGGCGGCTCTACCAACGCCGAGGAGGGTCTACGGCTGGGCTACGAAATGGCCGACCGCTGGCTGAACCCTGAGCGCATAACCAGGATCATCCTCCTCTCCGACGGCGTGGCAAACGTTGGACAGACTGGCCCCGAAGCCATTCTGAATCAGGTGCGCAAGTACGTGAATGAGGGCGTGACCCTCTCAACCGTCGGCGTCGGCATGGGCAACTACAACGATGTCCTCATGGAACAGCTCGCCAACGACGGCGACGGTAACTACTTCTACATCGACAACCTCACCGAGGCGTGGAAGTCTTTCGTCGACAACCTCACCTCCACGCTTCAGGTGATAGCCAGGGACGCGAAGATCCAGGTCTCTTCAACCCGGATGTCGTCCACAGCTACCGTCTGATCGGGTACGAGAACCGCGACGTCGCCGACCGCGACTTCCGAAACGACAGCGTGGACGCCGGCGAGGTTGGGCCGGGCACAGCGTACCGCTCTCTACGAGCTCCGACTACACGAGCGAATCGACGGTCCCATTGCCAAGGTGCACGTGCGATACGAGGATCCCGACTCTCATCGGATCTTCGAGGTGGATCGGAACTTTAACGTCAACGATCTCCACGGGCACTTCGAGAGTGCGCATCACCGCGATTCCAGCTTGCGGCGACCGTCGCCCAATACGCCGAGGTGTGCGCGAGAGCTACTGGGCACAGCACACGACGTTCAACGACGTGCGCTACCACGCCGACCGCGTCGGCGGCATTCTCAGGAACGACCCCGAGGTAACCGAGTTCGCCCGCTTGGTAAACATGGCGGCGGGCATCGCCGACGGGTAAGGGCGGGACTATGTCCGTCATCGGAGCGTCGGTAGGGCGTTCTGGTGACGGATCACTTACGTAGTCTAAAAGCTGGCAGTGACAGACTTAGGTGCCTCGCTCGACTTGAGATTGGTTGGCTAGTAGACCGACATCTTTGAAATGACGGGTAATGATAGGGGGTTGGATTTGCGTTATACAGCGACAGGGCGGGTTTCGCCCCACCAATCACACCTCGTTACCCTCATACAATCATGTGAACCATAGGTCTGTCGATACTCAGAAGGCATCGCCAGTCCGGGTGGCAACATGTACCACAGAGAGAGTGAGAGGAAAAGAGAATGAAATCACATATCCTGCTAACAATACTGATCTTGGGAACACTTCTATTCGTGCCTGTGGCAGCGACGACGACGATGGATATTTTGCTGGTGAAACGGCCGCGCCGGCTCCTGCTCCGGCCCAGCATGCTCTGCAGCCCTGCGCCAGCCACGCTCCGGCCCGGCCCCGGCGGCAGCTTATGCCCCGGCTCCCGCACCAGCGGCTGCTGCTGCAGCCGCCCCAGCCCAGGCCGCTGCGGCGTCACCCGCTCAGGCGACACCTCCACCTTGGCGGAAATCGGAAGCGACCGGCGAGGGCGACCTGGCCAAGCTCGTCCAGCAGCAGCGCATCGTCGTTCGCACGGTCCACATGGGACTCGTCGTCTCCGACATACAGGTGTCTATGGACAAAGTAGCATCCCTCGCCGCCAACATGGAAGGATGGACCGTTTCGTCGGAGAGGGCGGATGACTTCAGCGGAAAGGTCGCCGTGCGCGTACCTGCCGAAAGGCTCGATGAGGCCATCGGGCAGGTGAGGAACGTCGCGGTTGCGGTCGAGTCTGAGATTACTACAAGCAAGGACGTGACGGCCGAATACTTTGATTCACAGTCCCGGCTCAGAAACCTCCGTGCTACCGAGACTGCCATGCTCACGCTCCTCGAACGGGCCCCGAACGCACGCGACGCCCTTGAAATCCGCAAGACACTTTCCGAGGTCCAAGAAGAGATCGAAGTCCTGTTGGGCAGACTGAAGCTGCTCGAAGAGACTTCTGCGTTCTCTCTAGTGAACGTCACCATGCGAGTCGAACGGGTCGACCTCCGTGTCGACGCAGGAGCGGACCGCACCGTCAGCATTGGGCAGACCGTCCGATTCAAAGCGACCTTCCGTACGCCTGACGAATCCGCAAATTACAACGTTGTGTGGAACTTCGGCGACCGCTCTCAACCCATCTTCGACACGTTCACCGCGCCGACCTCAGAACCGGGAACTCGCGTCACCGCCTCGGTGACCCACGTCTTCGACGACTATCGTGACTCACCGTACTTCGTCGATGTGAAAATATCCGGAACTTCAGAGTCCAGCCCCCTGTTCGGCCAGGACACCATCAAAATGACCGTCGTCGGTACCGAACAGATGTCGGTGGACGCCGGTGGAGATCAGACCGCCGCCGTCAGTCGCCCTGTTCGGCTCCGCGCCTTCTTCGAACCACCTGAAAGCATTGATCAATTCACCTACACGTGGGACTTCGGAGACGGCTCGAATCTCGTCACCGGCAACCGCGCCATCCTTACCAAGGACTCCGACCGTATGGTCACGGCAGTCACGAGCCACGCCTACTCAAGCGCCGAGGAGTCTCCTTACATAGTCCAAGTCAGGATGATTGGGAAAGGGGAAGCCGGCATCGTCGAGGGTTCGGACAAGATCATCGTGACCGTAACCGAGTTACCGGTCATACTCGTTTCCGCCGGCGAGTCGATATCGGTCGATGGAGGAACGGAAGCGGAGTTCCGCGGATCGTTTAATCGCCCTGCAGGGGTCACGAACCTGAGGTATAGCTGGAGCTTCGGCGACGGCACGGCCCCCGAGGAAGGCGACATCGGCGACAAGAACATAATCGAAGCGTCCCACAACTACGTCCACCTGCGACAACAGCCATACGTTGCGACGCTCACCGTCACGGGTGACAGCGAGGCCGGTCCTGTGGAGGCGTCTAGTTCGGTAAACGTCTACGTGATCGAAGGAGAGGGATGGGTCGTAGGCGGATACCGCCTGGAAGGTACCACGAAGGACGCTGTGAGGTCGCTATCAGTACTCGTCAAAGGCCTTACGACTACGGTCATCTGGATTGTCGTGTTCAGCCCCTTCTGGGGTGGCGGACTGGCCGTACTGGTGGTTCTCGGTCGCTTCGCAGCGGCCCGCGTCGTCGGAGGGCCCGTCAGCCCGAGCCGGAGGAGCCTCAGATCTCCAGTGTGGAACCTGCCTCATAGCGACCACCTTACGGCGGGACTCGTTCATAGTGAGCTTGCCTGTCAGCTGGTGCCAGCTTGGCAGTCCGTTTGGCAGGCAAGCAAACTATGGTCGGTCAGTCAATTTGACGCGCAAGAACATGTGGGCTATTATGAATCTACGGCGAAGAACGGCCTAGCCGACCGAGCACCTATGGAAATGTCCCACAATGTCCCCAAATGTCCCATAAACACGATGATTCAAGTATCGAATTCTGGCAAGTCCTGCACCATTGTTCTTATACCCAATGCAGCTTGCTATCTGGTATACTGTAGGCTGCAACACGACATGACATGATCCGGAGACACATCTTTGGCCAAGCAATCGGTATTCGCAAAGAACGCAAAGCGCAAGAAGGCCGTCGAAAAGTACGCTGAGAAACGCAATCGGCTCTTGGAGATCGCCAAAGATCCCAGGGCCTCGTACGAGGACCAGCTTGAGGCGCGTCAAGAGTTGGCCAAGCTGCCCCTCAACGCGAATCCGAATCGCGTCCGCAACCGCTGCGAGGTCACTGGCCGCCCCCGCGGGTATCTGCGCCACTTCGGCCTGTCCCGCATCACCTTCCGCGAGATGGCCCTCAAGGGTATGCTCCCCGGCGTCCGCAAGGCAAGCTGGTAGCGCAACCTTCTACCGGAGCGTTCTGCCGGTCTCTTCCCCGCCGGGGGAGGGATACAGAGAGGGGACGTGAGCAGTTACTTCCGCAGGTACGGCCCCGGCACGGAGGGTAACGTTGCTCAGGGCGAACGTGTTTTCCTGCCTTTTTCTCTCTGAAAGCGTATTCTGAGATAGTTTCCAAGGGGACGAGAAATGTCATTGTCAGGCATGGAGGAACTAAAGGACGCTATTCTGAGCCTGCCAAAAGCCGACTACACTCACTTGAGACAGTGGTTCTTCGATGAAATGGATTGCCAGAGATGGGACACTCAGATAGAAGCAGACTCGGATGACGGGAAGCTGGCTTTCCTGACCGATGAGGCGTTGAAGAGCAAAAGGGAAGGCGCCTTGACAGATCTGTAGATGAGCCATCGAGCGTCCCGCCGTTTCTGGCGCCATTTCGACCGGCTGCCAAAACGCACGCAGGCCAACGCCAGGAGGACTTTCGACCTGCTAAAGACTAATCCGAGTCATCCAGCATTACGGTTCAAAGAAGGTCGGAACCCTCTGGTCCGCCCGTGTAGGCCGAGCATACAGAGCACTCGCCGTTGAAGACGACGACGGCTTAATCTGGGTATGGATAGGCCGCCACGACGAATACGAGCAGCTGATTGGCAGGTAGGTAGACTCAGATGTTCAGGTGGAGGTTCGCCAATACGTAGGCGCCGAACCCCAGTCTATCTCTCCGTGAGCGGATATCCTTCCCCGCCAGGGATCAGTTGCGTCACACCTCCTGCAGCGGCAGGACGATGTGCGACGGGTGCTCCACGCTATGGAAGATGGTCTGATGCGCGATTTCGTACCGCCGCTCCAGTCCTAGCGGCCCTCCGGTATTCGGATTCACGTCGAAGCGCGGCCAGTTGCTGCTGCTGATGTCAAGCCGAATGCGGTGCCCCTTGCGGAACACGTTCGACGTTGGATACAGGTGAAAGACGAACTCGTAGGGCGTGCCGGGTTCCATTGGCTCCGGCTCGGTCCAACCGTTTCGATAACGGGCGCGAATGATCGAGTCCGTGATGTTCATCGCGAAGCCGTCGGGGTAGTCGTCGGAGGGCGGGTGAACGTCGATGAGCTTGGCCGTGAAGTCGGTGTCTTTCGCTGACGATGCCGCCCACAGATGCATGACGACGTGACCCGTGATCTCGGTATCCTCTTCGAGTTCAGGAGTCTGGAACGTGAGAATGTCGTGGCGCGTGTTAAGAGGTAGCTCGTTAACGCAGCCGATGAAGTCAGCCCTGCCCCGCTGGTCGAACGCTCCGGCCCGAATAATCGAGTCCGCCGCCGAGATGCCCCCGCCCATCGTCGGCACGGGGTCCATGGGGTCGAAGGTGTAGCCGGTCGATTCCGTCTCATCGTCGGTCGGCTCCTCGTTGGACAGCGAACCGTCCGCGTGCATGAAGAACGGGGTCTCCTCCGTGCCCGGTACAGGCCAGTCGGGCTCGCTTCGCCAATACCCGCCGTGGTCGAGTCGGCGGTCGTAGTCGTGCTTGTTCATCCGCTGGCTTCCCGTCCCCATCGTGAAGATGCGGACCGGAGACCACTCCGCGAACTCGGTGTCCATGCCCTTCATATAGTGGTCGAACCACGCCAATCGCAAGTCGTTTAGGTTGATTTGCGAGTCGAGGCCGAAGTCAACGTCCCCAGAGTACGTCAGCTCATACATCCCGTGCGTCCACGGCCCCATCAGGAGGACCTGCTGCGATTTCTTGATGGCTGACAGCTTCATGTAGCTCATCGGCGTGTTCCGCGCATACGAGTCGTACCAGCCGCCGAGGTAGAGCGTCGGCACGTCCGAGTGCTCGTCGAAATACTCGTCCATCGCGTAGCCGCGTTGCTTCCAGTAGTCGTCGAAACTCACCGTGCGTCAGGATGTCTAAAGCCCACTGTTCATAGGACGGCAGCCTGCGGAGCACCGTCGCGCCCTTCTTGAGTGGAAACTGCCGCACGATGTCGGGCATGTCTTCCATGAAGGCCTTCATAATCTCCGCCTGAAGCCCGGCATCGGCCATGGCCTCCTTGCTGGTCATCGCCATCCGAAAGACGTAGACGTGGAAGCGCTGCTCCAGAGCGCCGTTCTGACGCATCGAGCCGTGGTAGTAGTTCGCCGCGCCGACCGCTACGGTCATGGTCGCACAGGTGCGACGGCGCCATGGTCGCCAGGGCGCTCTGATCGCTGCCCGAGTACGAGCCGCCCATCGTCCCGACCTTGCCGTTGCTCCAATCCTGGACGCCAAGCCACTGCACCGTGTCGTACCCGTCCGGCGCCTCCTTGGCGAAGGCATACCACTCCCCTTCCGACTCAAACCGGCCGCGAACGTCCTGGATGACCGTCACGTAGCCGCGCCGAGCGAAATATCTCGCGTTGGCGACCTGCCGAGGCGCTGTCTTGTCATAAGGCGTCCGTTCAACGATCACCGGGAATCGCCCCTCTGCCGGACTCCCATTCAAAGACGGAAAATAGATGTCCGACGCAAGCCGCACTCCGTCCCGCATCGGTGTCATGACATTCTTCCAGCACGTCACGTCATAGGCAATCGGGGATCCTTCATAGGGGGCACTCAATGCATTGTTCTCCTCTAATTGGTTGCCATACTCGCGCTGGACATAAACGCGGCGGCGGCCCGGATTATATGGCACGTATCGACTGTCCCACAAGACAGCCGTATCATTAGTGCCTACCCAATCTGTTGGAGTCTTGCTGATATATGCCCCCTGTGAAGCTGGCAGTCATCGGGCTTGGACTGATGGGCAGCCGCCACGTCGAGATCGTTCAGGCGTTTGACGGCTGCGATCTCGTGGGCGTCTGTGACCTCAACCCAGACCTTCGGGCCATTGCCGACCGTCATGACATCCCATTCTTCCAAGACATAGGTGAGATGCTCGACCATACGAGCCGGACGGGGCCATACTCGCCACCCAGAGCGTTGAGCACGTCGAGACATTCGAGGCCTGCGCTCGCCGTGGAGTGCACACACTCATCGAAAAGCCCGTCGCCGACACCACGGAGGCCGCCCTTCGCATAGCCGAACTCGCCGACGCTACGAACACACAGGTGCTCGTCGGACACCACCGTCGACACAATCCGTTGGTCAAGGCGGTGCACTCATCGTCAAAGGCGGTGAGATCGGCGACCTGCTGGCCGTCTCCATGATGTGGACACTCATGAAGCCTGAGGGCTACTTCGATATAGCGTGGAGGAGCGTGAGACCGGACGGCGGCCCGGTCCTCATAAACCTCGTTCACGAGCTCGACATACTGCGCTACCTATGCGGAGAGATCAATCAGGTCTTCGCGCAGGGTCGCTCGAAGGCACGCAGGTTCGAGGTTGAGGACTCCGTCAGTATCTCGCTCACCTTCCGCAACGGGGCCGTGGCCGTGATCCTGGGCAGCGACGCGACGACCGCCCCTTGGTCGTACGAGGCCACGACCGGCGAGAACCCGCTGTACTTCAACGTCCCCGAAAACTGCTACTACTTCACGGGGACCGACGGCGCGCTGGCCTTCCCTCAAATGGAGCTGTGGAAATACGCCGACCACAACCAACGCGGCTGGCAGCACGCCATCGAGAAGTCCGTCGTCCCAGCCTCACGCGCCGACTCCCTGACGCTCCAACTCGCCCACTTCTGCGATGTGGTACAAGGAACAACCCCGCCCCTAGTCGATGCCCGCGACGGCGCGCGCTCCCTGGCCGCCGCTCTCGCCGTCCTGAAATCTATCGCCACCAATGCCCCTGTTCGACCATCTATTGACTGAGAAGGACGGAACACCTTCGTCGGCGTCAGTCACCCTTGACGTTGACGATCTGGCCGAAGGTGTGCACGATCTCGACAAGGTCCCTCGACTGCTCCATGACGGTGTCAATGTCCTTGTAAGCGCCCGGCAGCTCGTCGATGAACTCCTTGGAACGTCGCACCTCGATCCCCTGCATGTCCCGGTCGAAGTCGTCCATGGTGAAGCGCTTCCTCGCCTGCGTCCGTGAGAATCGTCGCCCTGCCCCGTGCGGGGCCGTCTCGAACGCATCCACACTGCCCAGACCCCGCACGACGTAACTTGCGGTGCCCATCGAGCCGGGGATGAGACCCATCTGTCCCTCTTTGGCCTGGATCGCGCCCTTCCTCGATACCAACACGTCCTTGCCGTAGTGGCGCTCCTTCTGCGTGAAGTTGTGATGGCACTGGATGCGTTCCAACTCAAGCTCGCCCTCGTGACCGCCCTCCCCATAGACTGTGTAGCTGAGTTCGGTCATCACCCGGTCCATCATCTCCTCTCGGTTCAAGAGCGCGAAGTCCTGTGCCCAGCGGAGGTCGCGGATGTATTCGTCGAACTCCTCCGTGCCTTCGCTCAGGTATGCCAGATCGCGGTCAGGCAGGCGAATCGACTCCCGTTTCATCAACCTCTGCGCTGTCCGGATGTGCTGCATGGCGATCTTGTTGCCGATGCCACGCGAACCGGAGTGCAGGAACGCCCAAACGCCCTCCGACTCGTCCAAGGTTATCTCGATGAAGTGGTTGCCCGAACCGAGAGAACCCAGCTGGGAGCCTCCAGTCCGCCCTGCCGGAGAGCTTCCTGTAGAGGCCCAATCGCTCCCCGGCCTTCTTCTCCAGCGTGGCAACCCGTGCCTTCGCCGTCGACGACACACTCCGGTTGTACTTGCCCGCGCTGAGCGGAATGCGCCGTTCGATACCCTCTCGGATACCGCGGAGGTCCGCAGGAAGGTCGTCGCGAGACAGCGGAGTTCGCACAGCCACCATGCCGCACCCGATGTCCACGCCCACCGCCGCCGGAATAATTGCCCCGTCGGTCGGAATGCACGACCCCACCGTCGCCCCCATCCCAACATGGCAGTCGGGCATGATAGCCACGTGCTTGTAGATGAACGGCATCGACGCGATCTTCACGATCTGCTGCATCGCCGCCGGCTCGATCTGCTCCGGCGGCAGCCAAGATATGGCCGTCTTGTTGATCTGGTACATGGTTCTTTACCTCCAAGAAGATTTTCTGATTTCACTGTGGCCGACAAACAAAAAGACCCTGAGCTTCGCCAGGGTCTCTCTTCAAAGACAATATGTCTAAGCGATCAGTCCCTGGCGGGGCCTGCACGTCCTCCAAAGGCACGCGTAGCCGCGGGCCTTGTTTGAATATCTAGTTGGCCGAGTATAGGAAGCACGATCTTGCTGCCTTTAGCTAGGATTGCCGGAGCATCATCCGGCTCGATCTCGGGAACTGCCTTTCCAAATTACGACGCTGGCACGAAAAGGTCAACAATTTCTCATAGTCATGGACAGATCACCCGGTTCACCTAGGACGTCCAAGGGTCCTGTCCTACCGCTCCAATGCCACACATGCCACACCGCCGGTCGCCGATTCACTCCACGCAGTTATCATACGCTCTGCAGCATGTTCGCGTAGTCTCTGCCTGCCGTAGGAGCGGGCAAAGGCTTACCATCCTGCCGATACAACGCGATCGCTTCATCGACGATGACGCACAACTTCTCGAAAACCACTTTCTCATCAGGACCGTGACATCCGCCGTAAATCAGTCCTGGGGCACTTCCTACGTAGCACTGGTCCTCATCAGACCACTCGACCAGCTTCACATACCTTGCGCTGTCCTTCATCGCATCGACTCCTCAATCGCCTTTTGGATTGTCCGAAACTGATAATGCCTTAGTTCCCATTGAAAGTCTTGAACCACTAAACGAGCTACCCTTACTCAACACTCCATACCGCTTCCAACCCCAGAAACCGCCCCACATCCTCCACCTCCCTATGGATGCCCGCTCGCACTCCCTCCGAAAGCGCCTCGAACGGGCTCACGGTAATCGACAGCTTGCGTCCGACACGCTTCCGCGTCCAGGTGGCAACAACTCGCCCGTCGACCAGTATGGTAGGTCTGATGATCCCGCCTCCGGGATGCACACGCCTGAGCAATTCAGGCCCCACACCCAAATCACGAGTCCGATAGCCAAGTAGATAAGGATCGAATGCGCCCAGCATCTTGATAGCCGGCCTCTCGTCCGCCATCACCTCTTCGAGCAGCCCGGCACGTGTCCGAGGCACCCAATTCGGCGTACCGTCCACCTCGACTTTCAGCAGCTCGTCCTCAATCGATGCGAACCCCCTACGGACTTCCGCGACAGGCAAACCGGACCACGTCCCATAATCTTCCGGCGTGACTGGACCATATGCCGACAGGTACCGACGGACAAGCTCCGCTCCCGGATCGGCCACTTGGGAGAGGTCGTCATCAAGCCACGAGTCCAACAGGACGTGGGTCGCCTTGCCATTTACGGTCGGGCCGAAGCAAATGATTCCCTCCATCGAAGCCCGTCTAAGCAGATGCGGCACCGCCTGACCCTCTCCGGGTAGCCCGTCCGCCGCCCACTGCTCCGCAATCTGCCGTCGAGTGAGCGCGCCGTGCTCTTCCAAGGCCCTACGCATCACGGGAACCGCCCTAGCGTAGACCTCCTGTGTGAGACCAAGTTCCCGATGCCGCCGCTGGGCCTTGCGGACCATGTTCGGCCCGACCAGCCGAAGTATCCACCCTACGTCCTCGGCGGGCAGCAGATGCATCGTGCCACGCATAGCCCACGTCCGCACCACGGAGCGCTCCTCCACCCTCGCCGTCTCAACATTGTCCTCGGTCGTCGCGTCCGTCCGCACTCGCACCGCCAGCACCTCCGCAACCGCATCCTGCGCCTGTACCGCCGCGATACTTCGGACGATACCGGCGACACCAAACGGCACACTTGCGTTCAAATGTTGCGAGTGGAGGCGGAGGCGTCGTGCCTCTGTTCCCGTTAGTGAAATACTCAAAACCGCTCCATTGCGACCTGTGTAGTATTGGTTTGAGCACTGACAGTGTGAATGTTCTTGATCGGCAGCGTCAATTCCCTCCCCGACCGGTATAACAATGCTCGGCCGTGCTTGTCCTGAACCAACAAGAAAAGGCTGTTGCATAAATAGAACGTTTATGCTATGCTGCCCACGTCAAGGCTCACGGAGCTGCCGAAACACATACGAATATAGGAGGCCTTTCAATGACCACCGGGCAAGACACCTTGATCGAGTCGGCGATGAACGACATTGAGAAGCGATTTGGGCGCGGGGCGATCATGCGTCTCGGCGACAGAGACACTTTTAGTCCCGCGACGCCCATACCGACGGGGTCGCTGGCACTGGACCTTGCACTTGGAATAGGCGGCGTGCCAAGAGGCCGAGTCACTGAGATATTCGGCGCGGAGTCGACCGGAAAGACGACTCTCGCGTACCACATCATGGCTGAAGCCCAGAAAAGCGGAGGCACGGCCGCCTACATCGACGTGGAGCACGCACTCGACCCCGAGTTCGCGCGGACCTGCGGCGTCGATATCGATAACCTGCTCGTATCCCAGCCGGACTATGCCGAACAGGCACTGGAGATTTGTGAATACCTCGTCCGCAGCGGAGCGGTGGCCGTCGTGGTCATCGACAGCGTCGCGGCTCTCGTCCCCAAAGCCGAGCTCGAAGGCGAGATGGGCGATCAGCACCTCGGCCTACAGGCCCGCATCATGTCACAGGGCCTCCGAAAGCTAACGGCTGCGATCAGCCGCCACGACACCGGGGTCATCTTCATCAACCAGCTCCGAGAGAAAATAGGTGTCCTCTGGGGCAATCCGGAGACCACGCCGGGCGGACGGGCGCTTAAGTTCTACAGCTCGGTTAGGATCGACCTCCGCAGGGGCGAGTCGGTCAAGAACGGAAGCGAGATCATCGGCACGCACGTGAAGGCGCGTGTCGTGAAGAACAAGGTCGCCCCACCCTTCCGTACCGCCGAATACGACATCATGTTCGGCGAAGGCATCAGCCAGGAGGCCGACCTCTTGGCGCTAGGTGTGGAAATGGGGCATGTGCAAAAGAGCGGCTCGTACTACTTCTTCGAAGATACTCGATTGGGACAGGGCCGTGAGAACGCGAAGCAGTTCTTGAAGGAAAACGACGGCATCGCCGCCAAGATCGAGGATGATACGCGGCAAGACCGAAGTAGAGCACACGCCGGAAGCCGCTCCGGGCAGCGAGAATGGCGTCGCCGCAGGCGCCACGTCCTAAAGTCGTGAAGACAGGTCCGCGAAATCGGAACGAGGCTCGAGCCGTTCATCGACGATTGGCTGATCGAACGCATGGACGGCATGAGTCTCCGTCTGCACCAACCCGTCGCCAAGGAGATCGCATTCCGGTTCGATCAGCCATGGGAGGGTACGTCCAGCATCTTCATCAGGGTCATGAAGGACGGGGATATCTACCGGAACTGGTACCGTGCCGGGGCCGACCGCAACCAGGCTGCCGCATACGCCGAGAGCGCCGACGGCATCCACTGGGAGCGGCCGAATTTGGGCTTGGTGGAATATGAGGGTACGACCAACAACAACATCGTCCTTCGGGACGATGGCATCGAGAACCTCGCCGTATTCCGCGACGATAATCCATCAGCACCTGACGACGAACGGTACAAGGCCATCGCGAAAGGCCCGAAGATAGATGGTCGCGCAACGATCCGCGCTCTAACCTCGCCGGATGGCTTCCGGTGGAACGTCATCGATGTCGACCCGATCCTCGTCGCGCCTGACGACGGCTGGCCTATGTTCGATTCCACGAACGTGGCCTTCTGGGACGAGGTACAGGAGCAATACGTCGCCTACATGCGTGGCTGGTTCCCTAGCAAAGACCGTGTGTCCTCCGATCACCGTAGCGGAGTTCGTTCAATCCGACGGAGCGTTTCCCCGGATTTTCGTTCGTGGACCACACCTGAATTCATCGACCTTGGAGACTCGGAACCGGAGCACCTCTATACCAACGCCGCTACGCCCTACTTCCGGGCCCCTCACATCTACCTGATGTTTCCACGCAGGTTCGTCGTCGGGCGAAAGCTCCGAGAAGACTGGCCGTACGACGGTCTCTCCGACTCCGTATTCATGAGCAGCCGTGACGGCGTGCATTGGGACCGGCGTTTCATGGAACCGCTGATCCCTACCGGCAGGGATATCGACGACTGGACCGATCGTAGCACGACGCCCGGAGTCGGTCTTGTGCCGACAGGCCCCGATGAGATGTCGATTTACTACAAGGAGCACAACCAACTGCCAACAGTGCGGATGCGCCGCGGCGTCTTCCGAACGGATGGGATCGTCTCACTCTATTCCACTTACAGCGGCGGCGAATTCGTCACGCAACCGCTGATATTCGAGGGCGACGAGCTCGTGCTCAACTACGCAACGTCTGCGGCCGGGAGTGTACGAGTCGAGATGCAGGACATTCAAGGTGTCCAAATTCCCGGAAGAGCGCTAGCCGACTGCGACGAGATATACGGAGACGACATCGAGCGGGTTGTCAGATGGCGCGGCAGCGCGAACGTAGGCGAGCTTGCAGGGCGTCCAGTCCGGCTGAGAGTGGTGAGCGTAAACTACGCCGACTTCTACTCGGTACAATTCCGGCGGAGTCACTAAGAGGTAGGGCTACGGCAGGTCGATGGTAGACTCGACCGTATCCTTCAGTTCCTGGGCTACCTCTTCGGAGTCGCGGTCGCCGTCGATGATGTGGAACCCCTTACTCGGTGCCATAGCAAGGAACTGCTCACGGACCTGCTTCTGGTAGCTGATGAAGCTGGCGTACATATCCCCGTCTCGGTGAATGTCCATTCCCGACTCCCAGTAGTCGAGGTAATGAAGGTTCCCGAGCACCCGCTCTGCCAACACCTCCGGCTTCACATCCAAGTAAAGCACGACATCCGGCACTATGGCGAAACCGAAGACGCCTTCTATCCACTTCACATCTACTCCACGCACGACGTCGCGCGCAATCGGAGTGTAGACATACCGGTCGGCCAAGACGATGAAGTCTGCCTCAAGCGCGGGAACGATAACGTTCTCGATCTGGTCTGCGAGGTCCGTGGCATAGTAGAGCGAAAACGTAAGCGGCCCCAGCGAGTAGCCTTGCATCACATCCTGGAGCTTCTTCCCCACGAGCCTCGACCGCTTGAGGCCGGTTTGAGCGGAGCGTAACCCCTGCGCTCCAGCCAGTCGCGCAGCAGACGGATCTGTGTTGATCGCCCTGCGCTGTCCGGGCCCTCGATTACGATCAGCCTCCCTCTGAGCGTGGACAGGTTGATATCGGGGATGCCGGCCCCGAAGTACGCTCCGCTTATTATTCCCCCCCCCCTGTGGCCGCACTTGCGACGCCTCCCCCCCCCTGGCGCCTCTGGACTGGACGTACTGAGACAGGTCAAGTCGATCGCGAATGAGGTCTCGAAACTCCTGCTGCTGCTCACCGGCGGGCTTTGTCGCGTCTACGATATGAAAGGGAAACTCGTATCGTTTCGTGGAAGCTCCGTTCGGTGCTACATTCTCCTCTTAGTCTCCCTTTAATCTTCTTCTGTTAATCTTCTGTCTACTTCTTTCTCCTCTTCTGTTGTAATCTAATCTTTTCTTCGTTCGTCTTCGTTTCGTCTGAAACATATTTTGAACTGCGGATAGCTCTCAATGTGATATATCTCCGACGAAATCCAATAACGTCCAATATTGATAATAAAATCCAAAATATCC